TAGCAGAGCATGGAATCTGTCTCCAAATTTAGGAAGACAGGACATCAGTACGTATTTGGAAGCTTTCCTTCAGAACCATATGGGCTGGAAACTTAATTTGTTAAAGAAAAAACTTTCTGCAGAAACTGATAGCTGAAGACACCCACTTGCCACAAAGTGTTTGTACACCATTGCTGAGTAGGCAAATAGCAACATGATTTGTTGCTAGTACTCCAGTTTCATTTGGAATAAAATATCAATTTGAAGAATTGTATTGAGTATAAAAATCAGTTGAGAATTAAAGCTTTCAGAGATAGGAAATTTTATTTAAAGCTTTCGCAAAACAACTAGTCATACTGAATGAAAATGAGAAACTATCAGTGTTTTGGGTGCTGAGGGCATTTGTCTACTTGTTTTCAATTTATTTAGGTTTCGGATTCTGCTTACTTTGCCAATTTGAATACTCAGTCTGGATTTTACATTTAATGTTAAGAATTGGATGTCAGATTTAGTTTACTTATGAAACTTTTGAAGTGTATTAAAAATCTGAAGCTTAAACATGAGTCTGAAATGAAACATGTGAAGTAATTTTATTTAGTACTCTTGAAAATGTGGGTAAGGTGAAAATACTGGGAGTAATTGCAGAAATACTATATTTAGCTGAGTGCAGCAGCTGATAAAACATGAAGGTTTAATTTCCAGTAGCTCTGAAGGAAAATTTTACACGTGAAGGCCGTTCATAGGAGGCACACTCAAGTATATTGGCTTGTGATTAGCAAAACTCTTACTGTTACTTTTATTTACAGGTAGAAGAAGACAAAGAGTGCATCGTCCACGTTCTCCAATATTGGAAGAAAAAGACATACCACTCCTTGAGTTTCCTAAATCCTCTGAGGACTTAATGGTGCCTAATGAGCATATAATGAATGTTATTGCCATCTATGAGGTACTACGGAACTTTGGCACTGTTTTACGCCTGTCTCCTTTTCGTTTTGAGGACTTCTGTGCTGCTCTGGTAAGTCAAGAGCAATGCACACTTATGGCAGAGATGCATATAGTGCTTTTAAAAGCAGTTTTACGAGAAGAAGACACTTCAAATACTACCTTTGGACCTGCTGACCTCAAAGATAGCGTTAATTCCACTTTGTATTTCATAGATGGAATGACGTGGCCAGAGGTTCTGCGGGTATATTGTGAGAGTGACAAGGAATACCATCATGTTCTTCCTTATCAAGAGGCAGAGGACTATCCTTATGGACCAGTAGAGAGTAAAATCAAAGTTCTACAGTTCTTAGTAGATCAGTTTCTTACAACAAACATTGCACGTGAGGAGCTAATGTCTGAAGGTGTTATCCAGTATGATGATCACTGTAGGGTTTGTCACAAACTGGGGGATTTGCTTTGCTGTGAAACTTGCTCAGCTGTGTACCATTTAGAGTGTGTGAAACCACCTCTTGAAGAGGTACCAGAGGACGAATGGCAGTGTGAGGTCTGTGTAGCGCATAAGGTGCCTGGTGTAACTGACTGTGTTGCTGAAATCCAAAAAAATAAACCATACATTCGACATGAACCCATTGGATACGACAGAAACAGACGGAAATATTGGTTCCTGAACAGAAGACTTATTATGTAAGTAAATCCAGTTATTTAGTCTATTCTGAAGAACATTAGGATGTTAAGTATTTGTTTAAAATACTTTTTCCTATAAGTTCTGTTTTCATCTTAAAGGTATATATTTTTGTAATATAAATCAAATATAAATCAAAGTTGCTGTGTACTTTTCTATGTAGGTTTCCAAAATCCATGTAATTCATCCACGTAGTTTATCCAAAACGAATGTTTAAATACTCTTCTGTATATGACAGAACTTTAATACTTCCAACCCAGTGCTCATGTGCAAAAACAAGCCAGTGTGTAGTAGGCATGAATGTGGGAGAAGGGAAATGGAATTTCAGTAAAGGAATGTGTTTTGACCTTGAGCATCCACAGTGTTACTGCAGAATAAGAGATGACTTTAAAAAATATGAAAAATAACATTACAGTATCCTTTCTGAAAATATTGAACTTCTTGTTAACATCACTTAAACTGGATCTAGTCAGTGCCTTCATAGCAGCAGGCTGCATAGAAACCAGGATTTAGGAACAACTTCAGAATACAGTTTCCCCGTGCTGATGGAGATTTGATTGAAAATTCGTTACTGTTGATGGTCTGCCTGTGCCTGACTAATAGAAATTCTCTTGGATCACTCACTATTGCTCCTAGCCAGGACTGCAGTGATGGAGAGCATGTACAAATGAAATAAGTCTTCAGGCTATAAAGAGGAAGTGAATGCATAGACCTATGAGTTCAAGTTGTCTATTGTTTTGTTTCTACAGTGCCTAGCACTTTGGGAACCCATTCTTGGTTGGTCTTTAGGTACTACTGTCATAAATGTGATTAATAATCATAATCTTATATGCTTTATGGTAGCTCAGGGTACTCAGATCTTTTTTTCTCCTCCTCCCCGAAAAGTTAAATTTGGAGTTGTAAACGGAACTTTATTTTCTAATAGAAAATAGATAGTGGAATCCTGGCTACTACTGAAAATCTTGTCTAACACAGTAGCTATGAAAAGGCAAGAGAAGTGGAAATTTATGAAGAGACAAATAAAATACTTAACATAGTGAGCTTTATTATCTCTTCATACCATCTCCCATTAAGTGTTCAACCCTGGAGAAAATAGTCCATAGTAAGTTACAGTTAACAAAATTTTACAAAATTAATGACTGAAATATATCAAAATGTTAGTTAGAATCTCTGGGAGGAGGGGCCATCAACATGATTCTGTCACTTGCAAGACATCAGGCCAAACCATGCATTTGTAGTCTTTCAGAATGTATTGTCATCTCTTCCTGCTAGCCTTAATACATAATCATTCATTGATACTTAAAGTATTGACTAGTTCTCGAGGTTAAATCCACTAAGGGTATAACTTCAACTTGTTAAGGGAGAATATTAGCATGTCCTGTAATTGTGAGGTGAGGGTTTTTTCCTGTCATTTTAATTATTTTTAATTTCCCCAGATCATAAAAGCCACCGTTGTAGCAGTTAATCTTCTCTAAGAGGCTGCAGTTAGCCCCAAGAATATCATGTATTGTTCAGGTTGATCAGCCTGATCTTGTCAACAACTTTATTCTGTGTATGTGACCTCAATCAGATGAGGGCTACCCTCTGTTGGTTTCTGATGAATTACGTAGCCTGATTTGTTTCAGAGTAGCAGCTGTGTTAGTCTGTATCTGCAAAAAGAACAGGAGTACTTGTGGCACCTTTGAGACTATCAAATTTATTTGAGCATAAGCTCTTGTGGGCTACAGCCTTCATCAGATGCATAGAATGGAACATATAGTAAGAAGTTTTTTATATATATACACGCGCGCGCACACACACACACACACACACATGAAAAGGTGGAAGTTGCCATACCAACTCTAAGAGGCTAATTAATTAAGATGAGCTATTATCAGCAGGGGGAGAAAACTTTTGTAGTGATAACTAAGATGGCCCATTCCAGACAGTTGACAAGAAGGTGTGGGGATACTTAACACAGGGAAATAGATTCAGTTTGTGTAATGACCAAGCCACTCCCAGTCTCTGTTCAAGCCCAAGTTAATGGTATCTAGTTTGCAAATTAATTCTAGTTCAGCAGTTTCTCGTTGGAGTCTGTTTTTGAAGCTTTTTT